TATTAAAATATCGATTAGCCAACGTATGCGGCGTATGCACTTTGTCCTACGTACAAGGGTTGCACTTAAAAGGGACAACGCGCGTCGCATCGTATCCAGGTAGATAGATTGTGGGCGATTTTAATCAGGGATCAGATTATGCTTGCTCGACAGAGATTGACCGATTGAAACACGTCGAATAGATTTTATCTAACAGTCTTTCTATCTCTTTCGCGATACGATTTATTAGCTTTTTCAAAGTTTACATTTTACATACATTCTAATTGCTTCTGAAACAACGAATGTAACTTGAAAAGAAAATATAATAACACGGATATTAATCGGTTAATTAATAAAAATAAATTTATCGATAAAATTTCACGTGTAATCGCGAATAAAGCATCGCATAAAATCTAATATAAAAAAAATACGGTATTGTTAATAAAAAATTAATAAAAAGAAAAACGTAAAAGAAAACGTAACAATTATATGCAAAAAAAGATTTGTTATTGATACACGATCAATATATTCCTCATTAAACACATAATATCTTCATTCCTCTCGAACAACAATCTTCCTATATCCGAACCAATTCCCCGTATAAATTTCAAGTTTACAATGATTCCCATAAACGCGTCCGTTCCTTTTCACCTCGCCATTCGCGCCGGCAAGTGGAACTCCATAAATCATGATCGATGCGCTCCTCTATCGTTCGCATCTTCTCTAAGGGCGAACCATCTCTTTTGTATATATATATATATATATATATATATTGAAAGAGAGAGAGAGAGAGAGAGAAAGAAAGTGAAGAAGATCGTGGAAAATCTAAAGAAATAATCCTAACGGATGGCCGGCCGCTGCGTTTGCATATGAAAAGCGTTCGCCTGTGAATCGATACACCTTTATTATACTCGGGCGCTTGCTTATCTTCCTCGACGTCCCCTCTTCGCGAGGGAACTCGACAATATTCCTCCACTTCCGATGAAGGAAGACCGCCCGAGGGACAAACCGTGAAACAATATGCCAAATTTTCACGGTTTGCCACTCGATGACCCCTCATTTGCGCCGTGACTCGTCCCTTTCCTCGCTTTCTAATTCTCCGAGCCGGGGTCACGCGAGTTCGCACCACGAAAAGGTTCGTCGAATCGATGACGCGGTGAAAATTAAGCGATATTTCTTCCCGTTTCTTCGCCGCTTCTTTGTTTTGTTGCCGTCGATAGACGCGTAGCTATTTTACTCTCGAATTATATCGAAGTATATAAATATATATACTTTACGAATTTTTGTCGAACAAGGGATGATTAAAGGGGGAATGTAAGTTTCGTGGATAGGTTCGATTCGATGATTAGATCTTATGCATTGTAAACAAGAATTTCCACGTTTTGTATTATCGATGTTAACTCTGTTCCTCGTCTCTGATATTGATTGAGGATAATTTTAACACTTGGACAGGAAGTTCATTCAATATATTATTATTAGAAGAATAACGTTTTAAAAATTTATTAAATTATTAAGATCGTAATAGAATATTGGAATCATTAAATTTTTAATATCTTTCTTCTTTCTTCTAGATTCACGTTTCTTGTACACAATATACAAGATCTGAGGAAGATAGAGGATTTTGAATTTCTAATAAATTTCATATAAATAAAAATATAAATAAAATATAAATAAATATAATAAATTTTTGAAGAACAAATTTAAATTCTAAATTGTAAAAAGTTTATTATCTTGTATCGAAACTTTTGAACTTTATAGAAATTAATCGTTTCGTTTTTTGAATAGTTGATTAATCGCAATAATTTAAAAAGAAAAGAAAAAGAAAAGAAAAAACTTGAAATGAAACACGATATTAATTAACCACCATAATAATTTTTCCACCGATTTTTCTACCCTGAAGAAAAAGTCTCGTCCACGAAGCCGTCTCGACTGCAACGTTCCTACGTTGGAACGAGGTTATCTGCGAGGGATCACGGCATTTTCCCTCTTCTCCATACCGCGAGCATTTCTTACAGCGACGCGTAAACGCAAGCGTAATCGTGGTGAAAGGTCAGCGAGGCGGCGAAGAAAAATCCGTCGCCCACCCGCCAGCCTCGTTATTCTACTTAGCACCTTGTTACACGCGGCGATATGTGTTCCATTGTGTATTGTCGCGTGGTATATCCTATCGCTTTATGAACGCTGACGTCCCTCGAGTTGTTTCTAATTTAATTTAGGATTCATTGTTTACGTGTCCCATTGTCGCCGGCATCCGTGATTCATTTATTGAACATCGGTGATAGTCGCTTCTGCGTGTTTTCACCACGCTGCTCCAGTGTGCCGATGTACGTGTGCGTATACAGTTTCTCTTGAATAATTTTCAGCAATAAACGCGAGGTGTGAGCAATAAACGAAAGTGTAATTCGTTGGTCTTAATTTTCTATGATATCTGTCGCTCGTATCTCCTTTTCGAAACACCAAATGCGTCACGGTTCTGGAGTTGGATGTAGTTTACGATTTGGAATACTGGATTAATATTAGATTTATGTACTGATAAATATTTTTGTTGAAAATTTAAGTAAAATTTTATTTATTTAGAAAAAAAAAAAACAAGAAAGAAAGTCGGGTTAAACGAGCGAACCGATTTATGTATGATAAATTTTTTGTTGAAATTTATTTTTACGTTGAAAAGAATTTAATTATTTCAGCTTTAAGAAACGTAAATTACCAATGTATCATTGATACTGTGGATAAAAAGAACGAACTGCACGAACTTTAGAATTTAAGATGTGGGGAAAGTTGCTTTTGTAGAAAAAGATTTGAAGAAAATTTAGAAGAAGAGCAAACGATCGACAGGGTCGTTCGTTTGGTGTAACAAACGATTCAATTTCGACGTTGGAGAGGACCGTTTAAGAAACTTAAGTAAAACGTAAGATCTTATTTAGAAAAGGTTCGGCTTTAAGACTTCCAGACTTCCAGACTTCCTTCGACGACAAAGATCTCTCCCTATCTCGAACAGCCATTTAATTAGCTTTTATTTTTCCCAGATCTTTTGTTCTCCGACTTTTCTTTCCATTGCTAAATCAGTCAGTAACAGTATAATATGGGAAACGATCTAGAACTTCTTAATTTTTTTCTTCTGTTGGAAAACTTACGATTCGATTAAAATTATTCTTTTCAACCGTGAATTGTTTGTTCGTGGAAAATTTTTTGAATCGACGCTAAAGAATATATATTGAATTTATAATTCTGATGATTATAAAATACAATCATTGAGAAATAATACACTGACTGGTTAGTATCGATCGATGATACGATTATATACGGAGAAAATCTCCAAGGCAAAATCAAATCATAATTTCAAAAGCCTCGATCGACATTTTCATGCAACAACTTTTTCCATCAATCGAAAAATCCACAATTCGATTCTAATCATACTTAAAACAAAAAAAAACATTGTAAACCACAAACCCTCGTTCCTTCAACATTTCTCTCGACACATAAATTCACCATAAAATCACCCCCAACATCCTGACCCATCACCAAGCCACCAAATATGTTCCTCCGCGTCTCACTTCGTTTCCGCCCGTCCAAGGGCAACGAGGGATCATCGCGACGTCTGTTCCTCTTTCTTTCCATCTTCCTTCTGCTTCTCGTCTTTTATCATCCTCCACTACCAAGAGGGTGGCCCTCGAATTAATAAAATCCCACGAACGCCCCAACATCGCAGAAAGAGCGTCTCCAGAGCGTGAAAAATGGCCGAAAATCTGATATTCCGGATTAAAAACATTGAAATTCAAAACCAGTTCCTCCCGTGGTCGTCTACGGAGCTTGAGGTAGGGTCGAGAGAAGTCGTTAAGGGTCAGTTTCACTCCACGGGCTAAGGCTCGAACCGATCCCCCATTCGCCTCGAGCCACCCTCTCCAACCCCCTCCAGTCCTCGCTTCTTTTCCAGGATATTATTTTTAAGCCCCCGCGTGGCCGCAATTTGACACAGCCGCGCCGTTTGAATTTCGAATTCAATCGGCGGACCCGATTTCTATCCCGATTCCACGAAATTAAGGGTGCCCCGAAAATTGATAGCCGACCCGACATCTATACGTGGGTCGAACACACGTTAGACACACATGTCCCGCGATCCTGCCCCTCTATAATTCCGAGATTTTTACCCGAGTTATCATATATCACAGTGTAGTTCACGGTAATCTTCTGGACCGTTTCACGCGGTTGCAACTTATCGCGCGGGTAATCGTTCCGAATGGTGTTGTTTAGGGTTGTTCTTCGAGGTTTCTCGCCTTTCCACGTGACGTAAAGCAGGATCACTTTACCTGAAAGAAGATTAATTTAATATCGTTAGATGAAGAAATGTTTTTCTCTTAGATATATATAGCTTTGAAATGAATTCGTACACGTTATTGATCTTATAAGTTTTTACGAACGAAATTGTACATAAGAAGATCAGAGAATTGATTTTGAATTGATGAAATGAAAGGTAATAAGAAAAAACTTTCCTTCTGTCCAAAATATTATTACAACTTTTATGTGAAAAAATTACGTTATTATCTTGCTTCAAAGATTATGGCGAATACAAGTTTGAATAGAAGATAGATGTTGAAATTATAGAGGCTTTGAAATTGCGGTCCAATTAGCAGGATTATGCTATAATTACGTTCTAATATATTTGAGGTAACGTACGTTGCACTTCCTGTCTTTAGAACAGTTCACAAGGTACAGCGCGTTGAACATTCAAAGCAGCCAGGATATACTACACAGAATAAGACTACTATAAGAACACCAAGCTCCAACGTCCAACTCAGATATTTAAAAATATATTAGATAAAAGAAAACGCATTTATAATGCATCTTCTTCTACTTGTATATATAATATACAATATAATAAGATTTTCTACAATCCTAAACCGAGATCTTAATCGAATCAAAATCGATCATCGATCATCAATTTTTTTTCAATTTGCTATAAAATTTAAAAGACTGTTCGACTTAAACAGTTAATCGATACCATTCACGTTCACCTGTTTCAGAACCCCGATGGCTCCAATGCTCGCAATGCTCCAGGAGGCTGTCCTCCGCCTGGGAGTTGCTGCAGCACGCGCAGAGCGTGCACGGTGCCAGACTCTACACCTCCCCGTCATCGTCGACGAACTCGTCGTCGAATACACCAGCGCCGAGTCCGCCGACGCCTACACCGACGCACACCCACCACCTAAGCCCGCCGAATCACCTGAACCTTAGCGCCAAGTCCACCGGGAGCTCGTCCGCGGGCAACTCGTCGGGCGGAACGAACTCGAGCGGCAGCAGCGGGCGACAACAACTGCAATCGTCCGCGTCTCTGGTCGGCGATCCCCTTCACAGTTTTCTAAGGCTACCTCAACACCTGGAACGAAGCTTTCCACCCATGTTCAGGCCCGACTTTCTGGCCCTGAATCCGCTGGCGGGGTACAGGGGCCTCCAGGAGCTGCAGACGGCGACCCGGAACCTTCAAAACCTAGGCGATCCGCTCAGAGGTATGGATGGTCTAAACCTTGGAGACCCGTTGGTCCGCAGCTCGTTGGATTCCCTGAACAACGCTCGAAACTTGGCAAACTTGGCCGAATTGTCGCACGGCCGTGGCCTCGCCGGCCAAGCGCATCCACCCCCACTAGAGACCAATCTGGATTTTTACTCGGCGCGCCTAAGGAGCCTCGCTAATCCGTCCTTAGGCGCGGCTCCACCCAGTAGCGGAAACTCGACGACAAATCCCAACCCACCCGCCCCCGTACCACCCGTACCGGTACCGAGCACCACCGTCCAGCAACAGCAACAACAGCAACAGCAGCAGCAGCAGCAGCAGCAACAGCAACCACCTACGCAAAATCACAATCAATCCGTGGAACCACCGAGCCCTGCATCCAACAACCAGACAATTCTACCGCTCAATAATCATCAAAAAGAAAATTCGCCACCCTGTTACAATCAAAGCCCGGTCGGCCATCATAATAACAACAACTCGACCGACAGCGAGAAAACCAGCCCACCCGTCGCCCTCACGCCTATCATCGCCGACTCCGCGTCGGAGACGATCTACCTGTGCGAGGTGTGCGACAAGAAGTTTCGTTTCCAGTCGAATCTCATCGTGCATCGAAGAAGTCATCGGGACAAGGAGAGGCAGTATCAGCAAGATAGCACGCAGGATGGACAGACGACGCCGACCAGGTGCGAGGTGTGCGAGATGGAGGTTCCAAGCTTCGCGGAATTGAGGAAGCACATGAGGAAGGAGCATCAAGAGAACCTGAATCCGCCCAGCCCCCAGGGTAGCGTCGAGACAGCGCCGGACGACGGTTCCAGTTGTGACGAGAACATGGATCTCGACGAGGCTGTGAAAAACGAGCCCAAGACCGAGAGGGAGGACACCGAGGAGAACATACCGGAAGATTTGAGCACGACCCAGGGGCAAAGCGGCGAGGAGAGCGGCGGAAGAGTGGAGCAGAAACCCGTCAGCCTGGTCGGCGATCTGATGGAAAAGTTCGGATTGAGCAACATAGCTCAGTACTCGGAGGCTTACAGACAAGCGTTGCAAGAGAATCACCGGGGCGTTTTCATCAAGACGGAGCCACCGTCCAATCTCACCAACTCTCTCAACAACAACAAGGAGAAAGACAGCGCGTTGTCGCCCACGAATTTCAATTCCTCGACCACGCCTAACATATTCTCCGGTCAGGGTTTTCCCAGATCCTCGGGGCCGGACTTCGGCGGCCTATGGTTACCCAGCCCCCATTACCTCGAGAACAATGAGTTTCGCAAAGTGACCAAGGCCACCACGTCCAATCTAGCGCTCCAAGGTTTGCCCAGCCCTCTGCTCAAGAAGGAACGAACGGGGAGAAACGACACGTGCGAGTTCTGCGGCAAGGTATTCAAGAATTGCTCGAATCTGACGGTGCACAGGCGGTCCCATACAGGTGAGAAACCTTACAAGTGCGAGCTGTGTTCGTACGCTTGCGCGCAGAGCTCGAAGCTGACCAGGCACATGAAGACCCACGGTCGACACGGTAAGGACACGTACAAGTGTCGTTTCTGCGAGATGCCTTTCTCGGTGCCTAGCACATTGGAGAAGCATATGAGAAAATGCGTGGTGGTTGTGCAGCAGTGTCCCAAATTGGGGATGCCGTATCCCGCCAGCCAGGACGAGGACTCCTCGCTGAGTACCAAGGACCCTTGATCTTGGAACGGAAGCCTACCGCCGATCCCGCCACTGTGGCCGCACAGGCCACCTTACCCGGTGTACTGAACAGGGGATCTTCTTCCTCGAGAGTGAAACAGATCTCCGCATCCTCGCGTCGCGTGAAACACGATTGACACGCGTGACCATTATGGTCGACACTCCGGAGAATCTCCTTTGGTGATATATGTCCAAAGTCGCCTCTCGGGATTAGGAGAGGCGGTAGGTCGGTGAATCGAAGCAGCAACCATTAGATGGACCTGGAAAAGGTCAATGATAATATAAGTATAAAATATGTATAAAATATGTGGAACAACGAGGAAATGGCTCTCGAAGGCCGAACTGATGGAAAGGCCACGACTGAACGTTTTCTCCCAACACGAGAAAAAGGATTCAACGAACGTGGAGGAAATTGGAGAAAAGGCGATTTGAAATTGGAAAGCAAACGAATGGTTACCACTTTTGCGAGTCTCAGCACAGCTATTCAAAGTATATCCTTATAAATAGTTATAAATAAAGACGCTATAAATATGAATATATATATATATATATAAAGAGTATAAATATATAAATATATAAATATATATATATAAATATAAATATAAATTGCGAGAGAGATAAAAAAAGAGGAGAATTATACAGAATATAAATATTATACATAGGATAATCTGGAAATAGTAACTTTATTATCGCATTTGAAGATTATTTATTTAATATAACGATATATATATATATATATATAATATATAATATATAATATATATATATATATATTAACACATACTGTATAACGTAATATATGTATATATGTGTGATGGAGATTGTGCGCGTGTATATGTATGTACATTACGTTATATGATATGAAAGAATTTGCAACCACTCTGTATGTATGTACGATGTTTAGGGGGGAAAAATCGAGGAGATGAGGGCATCGAGAAGTGATCGAGAAGGGGAAATCTTTTTTGTACATTGCACGACGTCGCGCCCATTGATATTTCATGTTGACGTCTCTTTTTGTTTTGTAAAAAATAAGAAAAAAAAAAAAAGAAAATGGAAGGGAAACGTGAAAAAGAAAATTTCGAGCTATTCTTTTCCTCGAGAAGAAGAATCCTTTATAGGCGATTTCAACGATATCCTCCGTGTACATATAAAACGAGAAACATCGATATTCGAAAACCTTAAAGAAAACCCCCCAATCCTTGAAAAACCCCAACGTTTATCGATGATTAGGATTCCTAATTAAGGAGAAACGCGAGAGTACTTGAGATACGATTTAATTGTGTACAGCGTGATCCGAATGTGTGCGCTGAGTTTTTTTTTTTTTTTTTATAGATTTTAAGATCTATCCTATGTAAAATGTATCATAGTATATTTGCCTATTATTATTATTATTATTATTGCTATTTTTATTATTGTCTATTATTAATATTATTATTGTCATTATTATTGTCTATTATTATTATTATTATTATTATTATTATTATTATTATTATTATTATTATTATCATTATTATCATTATTATTATTATTATTGCTATTATTATTATTATTCATTGCCACTATTATTAACGCGGTTACAGCTACTGTAAGCGCTGTCTTCATTATTTTATTCCCGCTATTATTAAATTATTATCGAGAAAAGATGTTTTACGTGGTTAAGAAAATGCCAAAGTTGTTTAGGTTTATCGGCGCTATATTATTATGATCGAGATGTCCGTCGAGTGATTTTATCCTCGATGCTGTTATTGTTTTCATGATGGCGCTATGTTAAACGGATTAAATTAAGCGCCGATTATTATTAACGTTCGACAGCTGATCACAAAAATTTATTTATTCCAAAGTGTTATTATCTTTGGTCATCGAATTAATTCGCAGAATTATTTAGATTCTAATAATGTATAGTATTTATATTTATTTTTTATAAAACTTTGATAAAAGAAAATTTGATATAATAAAAGATTTATTATATCTTTATCATATAAAATATCAAATGTATCAATATCTATTGATACATGCCTCAATTTTTTAAATAAATATCTTACAAGATACAAATATGCTATCCATGAATTATTTCTTTTTTTTTTTAAGATGAATAATAATTAAATTTTTCAAAAATACAATTCTAATTTAGTTAAATTTAATGACAATTTACACCTTATTTTAGATAAAGAATTAATTTCATCCTAATTCGATGACTACAGAGTATACAAACGATATGTAAAAAAAAAAAAAAAAAGAAATAATAATACAAAAATAAATTCAAGTAATTATCAGACGAAAAATGTGATTAGCTTTTGCATAAATTGTTGAAGAGAAAATCCTCGACGGTCATTTCCAGTTCATGAAACACGCCGACGCTATAATTATAGCGTATTTGTTCGTTGGTTATATTTATTGTCGTCGCGGATGACCGGATCGCGCGCGGCTTTCGCAGGATCGAGGCCATGGATCGTTGATCCTGCGAAAATCGTGGCTTCCAACAACGTGATGCGCTCTAACAATGGTTGATCAACCGATTTTCCTTTCTCTTTTCTCCGTTATTTTCATTAGAAAAACCCGAAGACTGAGGTATTTGTGTTATTGTATTCGCGCAATTATTTTTTCTTTCTACTTTCCATTAAAACAAGCGTACCAATTTTCGTTTCCTATACGTCCATTCGATTTTTTCGTTTTATTACTTTCCCTTGCCTCGTTTTCCAAAAAAAAAAAAAAAAACGCCTCGTTGTAAACGTTTTCGAAGAGGACTGTTCCTAAATAAATAAATAAAAAAAGATGATCTAGGCAATAAGATAAAGTATAAATCGGATAGTATGCGTGCGTGTGTTCCGTTGATTATTGCGTGCAAAAGGTAAATCGAACGAGAGATATTTCACGATTTTTTCCGATGGTGTGCGTAAGCGTTATGTACGTACGTGTGTGCGAGTAAAATAAAAAAAAAGATGGGATTAAAGGAGAAAAAAATGGAAAAAAACTCATATCAAGATAGTTGTCTCGGTGTTAGACGTGTACGGCCCTAGGTAAAAGGCAAAATGAAAATAAAAAAAAATGAAAATCTCGTTATCTAGTTAAAGAAAAATAAAAAAAAAAAAAAAACGTTTGTTAGATTGATTCTGAAAATACGTACATGCCAGGCTCCGTTTATACGATATATTGTAAATATATGGCACTGCCCGTAGCAAAAAAAATGGGAGACGAATACAGGGAGGTGGAGAACCGGGCGGAGAATAAGGCAGACGAAAAATAATCGTCGGTGAACGTGAGAAATAAATAAATGAAAAAAAAAAAAAAATCATCGTAGTAATATTAATTGCATCAATCTCTTTCGTAAGCACGAGAACTCGTCGTTTCGTTCATCGTTTTTCGTTATGGACGATTCTATCATCCATTTTGAGAAAAAGAAGAAAAGAAAAGAAAAATAAATCAGAGAGAGAGAAAGAGAGAAAAAGAATAAGGGAGTGTTGGATCTTTAACCCTGCAGAAACATATGGCACACAAAATGGTTATAGAAAATAAAATCCATGAAACGATGGTACGAAACATGTAGTTTGGTTCCAAAGAAAAGTTTCTCTCGTCTTTCTTATTCGAATTCATCCCACATAGGACCAAGTTCCCTGCCTCACGAAGCGAACATAGGAAAAAGAAGAGAACACAATCACACACGAAAAATTTTCACGGAGGACGATTCGATCTGGGGGACACGAGGACGGAAAAATTAGGCGAAAGTGAAATCTTCGATGAAACCAAAGTTTCCTCGTTTTGTGAATTAAAATTGATATTTCTCGTGTCGTTTCTCGCGTCTCGTCGTGTCCCGTCGATCGAACGTTTAACGTTTCTTACACAGGGTAAACCACTTAAAATGGTAAAAGATATTCCCAGATAAAAAAAAAATAATAATAAATAAATAAACGAAGAACAGAACGTCGGAAATATAGCGAATTGAAGTATCTAGACAGTTAAATAAAATAAAGGTAAATAAAGAAGAAGAAAAAAAAAATAAGAGGTATTTCCTATAATATAGTAAGGGATGGAAAAGTCACACGCAAGATGAACGGGAAAGCGCAGAAAGGGGTTGAACAAAAAGTGTCGGTAGCAGGGAAATTGGGTTTTTAGTATGAAATATTCTGATCCAGGGTAAAAATAATCCGAAGCTCGGTTTCTAGATACGGTAAGACTGGGTTTTCGACCTGGCAAAACACTTTGGAACACTTTAAAGAAAATAATGAAAACGAAAAAAAAAAAAAAAAGGAAAAAAAAACCGAGGATCGACATTAAGGCAATACGAGAAAGCAAGGCGTCTTCGGGCAAAGTCTGGCCAAAGATCGCGATACAACCCTTTGACCAGCTTTCCCACGGGGATGTCCGTAATTATAAACATAGCAGATACGGTGTATGTCTTGTGCGATTCAAATAAACTACATTGTTTTTAAATAACTAGTATTGCATCACTTTATTCCTGATTATTTTGATCTTCATCGAGCAATTCCTTTCGATTGATGAATTTTTCCTATCACAAATCATTTCCTATTCGCGATCATTCAATGTGATAACAAAGATTTAATATTTAATGTTATTTAATTAACCTTGAGAAAAATATTAAAATAATAAATTCTAAGAAGATATTAAATAATAAAGTGAAAATTTTTATATTTCCCTCAAGATTAAATAAACTTTTTAATCATAAAAACTTGCAAAAAGTACAAAAATTAAAATAACATACATAGCACTGTATACTTACAATTAGAGATATACATCAGAAAAATGATATTTTAAGGAATCAAAATTTCGCGTATTAAAATTATTCCACTATAAATAAACATCTTTATACATTCCTAAGTAAAATTGAATAAAAACTATCTAAATACTTAATAAAATAATTTATCTTTCTAGTGGATCATTATTCAATTTAATAAATTATGAATCTTACTTTAACAATTTCTAATTTTTATAAAATACCAGATAAAATAAAATCACAAAATTATCAGAGAAGAATCCTCACTTATATCTTCTATTCTAAATTATCGCGATTTAACAATACCAGTCGAGGGGTTAATTCCTATCTGAGTAATGATTTTGACGAACGATCGTTTTCACCGATTACGAGAGTGAATTTATGCGAGAATAATTGATCGATCTCACGCCAGATCCCGATACACCTCCGCTGGCTATAGAAAGCTCGTTACATAAATTGTTTAACTTCTCTCAAACCATTACTATTGGACGCTTATTACATTTATTGCATAATGCATTTCGCAACGTGTGGCTCGCGTGTGCGAAACCATCTCGTGAACCCATCGTTTCGCCTCTGTTTCTTCTTGGAGTCGAGCCATTATTTCGGAATTTTTCTTTTTAATCGAATCCATCGAACGATCGTTGAGTTTCTAGCATCGAGGAAGCCGAATGCGCTTATTGGGAATACGCCACGCCATCTCACGTTGAAAAGAGGTATCGGTAGAACAGACTCAGGTAAGAATAGCTCGTAGAACGAGGTGCTCTAACGTATATCTGGTTGCAATAGCAAAGGGAGTCGTGTATAATGTGAAAATGAATATTTGATATTTTGTTTTATATTATTTATAATTCTGTTTTCAATTTAAATATTTATTTCATATATGATCACAAAAAAGGTGGAAATCAAGTATGAATATTCAATATAATTCAAATAATGAAAAATCAAAATTTGTATTCATCTTCTCTGTCGATATTGTAGTTCAAAATAATATTTTTTCTTTTATTAATTCAAGATATGAATTTGTATCTTCCAAATAAATTTATAATAAATCCAATAAAAATCATTAGAAAAATATTCATAAAAAAAGGTAAGGCAATAGAAAAAAAAAATAAATAAATAAAAATCAGGAATTTCAAAAAAACAATCAAGATTATAATAAGATACTAATATTTCGTATGATATTTCTAACTTAAAAAAAAAAATTCCAATAAAAAAGTACACTAAATCCAATCGAGGCATGGATCAACGTACCAACCTTTCAATCTTTCATCGCCTTCACAGATTTTTCCTCGAAATAAAACTATAGCCATAAACGGAACGATTCTCTCGCCATTCCCTACTACATCTTCCGAAGACGTCAAAGCCAAAATTACACGTCATAAAGTTCGAAATCCGGCAGTATAACGCCAAGGACAATCCGTCGCCGTCGTAATCGAAAGCCCGTGAAGCTCTCTTCTGAATGCGCCTCCCTGTTTCGCTGCTAATCGACTACTGTGCGAGCAAACACCAGCCGCCATGCGAATTCGAAGTTAAGACAATGCCGTTAATTTTTGGTCGGCCCCATTGTTCTCTCGGAGCATATTCATCTGTCAACCGGGTACCGACTTCCGCCACGCTCCTCAGAGATACATCATTCGACTATAGATCATCCTTTTCCTCCCACACTGTCCACCGTGGAAATCGTTCAACCTAACCTCAAAGTTATCGAACCATTTTCCATCGAATTTAATTATTTCGTTAATGACGTAGAGCTAAAGAGAGAAGAATGAGGAAGAAATGGGAACGAGGTGACGAATACTCGCGAGGCGTTGGTCAATAGTTTCACCATCCGTTTCTACGCTCGTTTGAATGCGTGTTAACTATGGTGACGTCACCACAATGGCGGACACTAATCTCCACGTCAAAAGCAGAGGTGCCCCCGTGTTCGCTCCCCCAACCACCAACCCTTTCTCGTACGCCGCTATCGTCCCTGATCTGTCGGTTTTCCGGACAAAATATGTCAAACGCTCGAGTCCCGCCACCCCCGCCCACGTTTCCGGCGTCGTTTCGTCCGCATCCGCCGTCGCGAGGGTAAAAAACAGCGCGCGGCTACTAGCAGTTGGAATGATAAAAAAAAAAAAAGAGGAGAACGAGAGTGAAAGAGAGAGAGAAAGGAAGAGAAATAGAGAAGGGAGGATGCATAGAATTCTCCATTTTTATTGTGACGTTTTTCACCAACTATTCCGCCGAGTTTCCTGATTTTCCTCTAGTTTTTCCCAAATTTTTGGAATTTTACGTGCGCGCGCGGTTTGGAGAACGGTTTGACTCACTCTTTGTCGCGATATTTTGTACTATTATACGTAACTCAAGAATAAATATAGTTGAATTGTTTTGGAAAAAAGATAAATAAATTAGTT